AATTCAGGTGTTCCGCAGTGGGGAGGGAATGGGAATTCGGTTGGACTCGGCCTCTGCGTTTGCTGGCGCCATTATCTCGCCATACTACGACTCACTTCTTGTTAAAGTTATTGCTCGAGCGATCGACTTCCAGCATGCCGCCTCCAAAATGTTGCGCTCCCTGATCGAGTTCAGGGTTCGTGGTGTAAAGGTGAATTTATCTTTCGATTTTTCCATTTTTTTACCCGATCTCCCCACTGCTCATCCTTTGGATTTCCCTAAAGTGATGTAAGCATTTCAATTGGCAATAGCCTAATGCTATATCCCCACTCAACCACTCTTTCTGACCTCCAATCACATAAAATGAGCACATGATGAGTTCCGCAAGAATCTCCTGCAAACCAGAGCCTGTAGAGAATAGTAACATGTTTAAGGGCCAGGTACCGAAGTTTTAATCATCCTGGCTTATTGGCGGATTTTGCAACCTTGAAAATGGTCCAGACAATTGCAAGGGAGGAGGGGAGCATGCGATCTCAGCCTATAATGGTTGTTTCTACGGAAATTTTGTGATTCACCGTTACCCAGACGGGCATAGTGCTCCAAATGTCGATTTTATGTATTTTTTTCGCAAGTTCCATCATCAATAATTGAGATGCCTACTAGAGAAAGCTGTCCGAAAATAAAGCAAATCACTGCCATGGACTGATAAATATTTTTAACTGGACTATCTTTGAGGACAACTGAATATGCGTTTTCGCGGTGTTGGCAGTATCTTTCGTTCTTTGCTGGCTCATTGAGCCTTAAGACTAACCACCAATGCAAATTTTTTTACAAACTCTGTATCTGAATTGCCTCATGCCCTGAAGTGTGATTCAAAATGTCGGCTTTGATACTTTTTTCCCACCAACCGAATCGCTTATTCGTAGGCATTAAATCGACAACGCACCCGCTTCATACTTTAATTATCGCAACTTCTAACTTGACAAACAATTATTCATATTCATATAAGGTGATGAAGGACTGATAGTTGAATTTTACCACAATGAAATATGTATAGCTGACGTTTCCATTGAATTTCACATAGCCTTGCTTTCCCTAAAGGTGTTCATATCCAGGCTGAAGTGAACTGCAGATTCGACCTCAAATGAGTCTTATCAGCGCCCCAAGCGGGATTCGAACCATGACAGTGCAGCGTGCGAGCTCGACACGTTAACCACTACGCCACAATGCCACAAGTGCCCTAGTGTCACGGGGCGGATGTGAATTTCAAGGAATGTCAGGCATTTACCATACCACATTTTGTGCTTCATCAACATTCCCAGCACAGAAGGTGATATGGAAAATGCCTGAGATTCCCTAAAATTCACATTTATGCTGTAACCCAAAGGCACTCATAGCAATGTGGCGTAGTGGTTAGCGTGTCGAGTTTACATGCTACACTGTTATGATTCGACTTCCGCTTAGGGTGTTGATATGACTCATATGAGGTCGAATTTCCAGTCCACTTAAGCCTGGATGTGAACACCTTTTGGGAAAGCAAGGCTATGTGAAATTGAACTGAAACCTCAGATCTACTCATATCATTGTGGGAAAATTTAACTACCATTCCTTCATCACCTTAAACAGAATATCTGTTTAACTTTGTATAACTTAGAATATCCAAATCAGAGAACCTCAAAATAACCTTTAGTGAATAGTAATTAGGTCTTCCATAATTGCAGATCTTGATTAATATTTGTTATCGGCTTTAGTATCATCATGTCATAAGGTGACAAAATTTATTTTCTTAATTCACTTAATTTATGAATTCATCTTCTTTTCAAAAGAGCCTGGCTTCTGGAAATGTAATTAGTATGTAGATAGAGTTCAGAAATGACTGCTTCACTATCTGTCTATTGCCTGAATTTGTCTATTTAATATTGTCTGAGTCCAAATTCAAAGTTACGTGTTCACTGATAAAATGTGTAAAATTGAAGTGGCGGGATGATAATAAAAGAATAGACGAAGGAGGATAAGCAAAGATAGCACAGTTTTTTTTCGTCTTTTGCATTTAAGTAAAGTCGACTTTTCTCAAGTGCTCTTTAAGTAGTTTACTGGTTTATCAAGCCTCACAGCCTGTACTATGAGGGGAAATTTGCAAATCTCTCTCTGGTTTTAATTTCCTCTGCTTCAACTCAGAGCCAGTTTTTCAACTGTTTTCGTTTTCTCGATTTATTTGCAATTAGATTTCCGCTCTTTTTCAGCCCGTACTTAGCAATTGCCTAGGTTCAGACCTCTTAGTCTCTGAGTATACATATCCATAAATTTGTGGCTATTATCTAGACAATACTTTCAGATATTCTTGCACCTACTTTGAATCACAAAAATTTGATTAGGCATCCAAATTGTGGATTGGATGGAGTCACAATTAAAAATGCAACGGATGCCTCCAGATTCTCCTGCTTGCATTCTTCATTTACCCAATTGCTTGGACATAGAATAACCGTTAAAAAGTATAAGGCTGATTTATGAGGTCGGATGAATTGTAGGTCTCTTAGCTAGTCATGTATGCAATCAAATGGAATAGTGTGTGTATTTATTCCTCGTATTATCATCTTTACCATTTACTTTCTATTTTTTTCTCCATCCATAATTATCCAAACACATGCACATGAATACTCGTTTACATCTTCACAATGGCTCATCTTGTACCCACACGCACACACACTTATGTGCGTATATTTACCTGATTTCTCATTACACAAACGCTCAAACTTGTACTCGCCTCATTAAAATCACAGACAAATGTGCCTTTCCTGCTCAACGTGCTGCGTAATGAGCGATTTCT